CGGGTCCACTGGTGGAACCTCTTCTAACCGGTTCGGTAGATTTGATGAACCGGTTCTACTGAATAGGTGCGAACTGGTAGGAACCCACCTCTGGAACTAGGAATCCTGTGACAAGCAGTGCCACATGCCACTATGCCAAAACCTATCATCTCTCCCTCCCCCCTCACACACACAAACACACAATCTATTCATCTATCATCTATACCACATTAAATGACAAAAAGCAACATACCACTAAAAAACGAATAAGGGTTTTTAAAAACCTGAAATATTTAAACTTAGAACTTAGAATGCGCCTCTGAGAAGATTCTATCAATGTATTTCTAAAACAGAGACACTATGAAAGTTTCTAAAGATGATAATGCAGAGGACGGTTGTTTCTTTATGGAAGAATACTTCTATTTCAAATAATTATGGCTTATGGCCGTAACTACCAATTCTTTTGAGTTCTGCTTAGAACTCGACTGGAAGCCAACAAAAACTGTTTACTTTTGGTAGAGGTAGATAACATTTTAAAGCAACAATTTAAGAGTTAAATTTTAAGCTATCTAAAATTTCTGAACAGTTTTCAAACTACATTATATGTTCATAATGACAGATGTCATAATTAATGCTATATGCCACCAAAGCCAAACTATGAACATTAGAACAATTCTGACCTAACATTCATAGTGTTATACAAGAACTATGAATATTAGAAGAATTGTGGAAAGTGGATAGTTGGTACATCTCCTTGCATAAAAAGTATTTATATGAGCAATGGATTTCAACAATGTTTTCTAAGCAATGGATAAGCAATGGATTTCAACAATGTTTTCTAAATCTGCCATAATCACTTTATCACTAATCACTTTAATAATATTCCACTTCTTGAATATTTTTATATTAGTTTTATATTAACTAATATACACTTTTTTGAATACATTATCTTAAATTTATGGTGTCCCCACCTCCCAACAGTTCTAAAAAAATAAAGCATTCTTTCATAAGTGGAAGTTAAAATTATATATTCCATACTTACCATACTTCCTGATTTTGGTACATCTCTAAATCTGTCTAGTGTCTGAAATTTCTGATTTAATTCTTGAAACAGCTCCATGTGTCTCTTCCTCGTATGCATGACCTTCTGCAAAATGGAATATAATTGCTTAGTATTTATAATGAGCATATATTTTTTCAAACAACCGTTATTTCCTCCAACATAACGAAGCAAATTGGATTTGGCCAAGACGTGGAAATGAAACAGGCCATGTCATCTATTTGATCTGCTGTTGGAATCGGAATTGCATATTCTGGAACTCCTGAAAAACAGGGCTGGCTTATTTTGTGTTTCTGAAGGTGCATCATCACTTAAATCTAAGTGCCACTACGAATGATCTTCTTTGCTTGACAGTTAAAATTAGTTTTAAAGAAATGAGCTTTTTCTGGAAGAAGGTCCATGTTGAGAACTTGGAAGATCCAATAGTTATACATGTTTCTGATCAGCAAAAGAACGGTTGCAGGAACTGGGTATNTGAGGCTCAAATACTTTGGCCACCAAGTATGAAGAAAGGACTCATTGGGAAAGCCCCTGATGTTGGGAAAGATGGAAGGCAAAAGGAGAAGCGGATGGCAGAGGATGAGATGGTTCGACACAGCGAACATGAATTTGGGCAAACTCTAGGAGACAGTGGTGGACCGGGTGTGTGGTCCACCACTAGTATGCTGTGGTCATGGGATCACATAGAATTGGACATGACTGAACAACTAGAGAGAAGATTCCTCTGTTTATTTCTGCTTCTAGAATTGTTCTGAGCAGAATTCTATAGGAGGACAGATTGCCTAGATAGCTAAATATTTTGGTCTAGTGGTTAAGGCACCAGACTAGAAACCAGGAGGCAGTGAATTCTAGTTCTTCCTTAGGATGAATAATAGCTGGGTGACTTTGGGCCTATCACTCTCTCTCAGCCTACCTCACCTCACAGGGTTGTTATGGAGAAAATTGGAGGAGGAAGGAATATTATGAACATTTGCTGCCTTTATTTACTTTTAAAAATAATAAAGGTGGGATAAAATAATCTAAGTATTAATTAACTAATTAAACATTTCACATCTGAACTATGGTTTTGATGCCACAAGATGTTCACACAGGAACGTGATCGAAGCTAGTTAAAATGTTTGATAGTTTTACAGTGCATTTTTAAAAAATCACCTAATAAAATGTCTTCCCTTAACTTACTTCTCATGCAAGTTTCTAATAATGCAATTATTAAAATACTATATCTTTTTAATAGAGGTGTTTTTTTTAAAAAAAACAGTTCATTACGAGATAAATGATAATCATCAACTAGATTATTTTCTCAACTGCAAGAATATTTGTGCGTAGTATTATCTTCTATTAGGTGCTGCTGTCTGTTTATTCACATTAATATGAATGATTCTTCTGGTCTTAATGAGTATAAATGATGATAAAGTGATCCTAAGAGTACATTGAATATGCAAGCTTTCAGTTTCACATAATTAATTATACCAGATTATTCCGGTTAGCATGAACAGGAAGTATCAGGCATAAAAAAAGATTCCACACATTCTATATATTTAGATCAATTGAAAAAAGAATACTCTGTTCTGAATAAATACACATGCTTCCCAGTCCTAAATCTTTATCTTAAGACTATCATCTAAAGAAACCAATGGCAATTATTTTTAAGTGACAGAATGAAGCTGTTAGGTGCTAAAAACCTCTTTACATTTTGCTGATCAGGTACACAATGAGAAAGTGTGTTTAGGTCTGAAACATTTGTCCACTTAAGTTTCAATTCTGCATAAACTAAGCAGAACCAAACATATACATTTAGAAACTTATAAAGTAAAGGTTCCCCCGCATGTGTATGCTAGTCATTTCCGGCTCTAGGAGAGGTGCTCATCTCCATTTCTAAGATGAAGAGCCACTGCTGTCTGAAGATGTGTCTATGGACATGTGGTTAGCATGACTAAACACCGAAGGTGTACGGAGCGCTGTTACTTTCCCACCAAAGTGGGAAATTATTTTTCTATTTGCATTTTTTAATGTACTTTCGAACTGCTGGGTTGGCAGAAGCTGGGACAAGTAATGGGAACTCACTCTGTTATGCGGCACTATGAATTTGAACCGCTGAACTGCCAATCTTCTGACCAACAAGCTCAGTGTCTTAGCCACTGAGCCAGCCTTCCTTAGAAACTTATAGAACTACATAATTAAAATTGACCTGGAAAATTGAAAACGTCCAAAACTTAAAAATACTAAAAAAGCGACTATATAGAACACCATAACTTAGTGACTCAATATTTAATTGGCCTACAACTGTTTGAGTTTAATAGAGGACAGTTGGATAATTAATAAGACTTTAGGTCCAATCCTAAGAGTCCCAGCTGATCGGGAGGAAATTGGGATTTTGCAGTAACCTTCCCCTGGAGTGGGAAGGGAATGGAGATTTTACAGTATCCTTCCCCTGCCACACCCACCAAGCCATGCCCACAGAACCGATAGTAAAAAAATTTGAATCCCACCACTGCCATGGTCCAACCCCTCCCCTAGGAATTTTGTCAGTAAGATGGGAATCCCAAATTAATATATACAAGGAGGCAATCTGTATAGGAATAAAATGATATGAAATGGGCTAAGGAAGTAAAGTTGTGATAATATCAAAACAAAATAAAACAAGCAGAAGTTTTTTTTAAAGATCATCATCTAAAAAAAATACACAGCCTTAAAAGAAAAGTTGTACAGATTTTTTTAAAACCCACACAACTGAATGTTTTCCCATATAATTAAGAGCATTGGTTATTGTTTGTAAAGGCTGAATTAAAATACGTTTTCACAAATATCTCACATTCATCAAGCTTTGAATCAAAATACATACTGCCTGGATATAAGTAGTATAGAGACACTTACTTCAAAGTCGAGGTCAGAATAACGTGATTTTCTCCTCTGTTAAATGTTGGTTGAAAATAAAACAAATAAAAATCACATATTAATTTAACTGAGCATCAATACAGTAACAATGCTGCATTTGTTTTGGATAATGGATATTTATTGACTTACTTAATTGCTATTCTACGTGAACAGGACACAGCCCAGTTTTTGATGGAATATTTGAACTGGATATAGATTTTTTATCATATTTAAAATAGATCCACTAGGCAAGGAAACAATGATTTGCAAATCCTACAAGTGGGTCACCTCTAAATACGATTAAAGCTCGATCTAATCCAGCATCTGGTGGAATTACTTTAATATTACTTCAACATATTATTTCCTAAAACTCTAATTGCCCATTATGCTAACCCCAAAATCCCCCTATTTCCTTAATATTACCATTTGAACTTGTGCAAAGGAATATAGCCTAGGTTTACTTGGCAGATTTTTTTCCCTCAACCATCTTTTAGCCATTAAGATAAAGATCTTCATAAATTTGAGTTTTTCAAATACTGAAACTTGCTTTCAGCTCATTTTCAACGAAATAGAATATTTGAGAACAATCTAAAACAGACCAGATTGTTTCATAACACCAAAACCTCCTTCCTTCCTTTCAAACTTCCTCAGGAGAATGCAAGAAATTATTTTCAACCTTCTATTTTTCATTTTTGTGGTTTAGCATACATCAAAAGAAGAGGTGAAAGATTGGGTACAGAAAAGAAATAAGATGGCCAACAGCTAATTGAATTTGGTCTTTTAAATCTATACCATTGTGCAGCCGTAATGGTTGCCTTGATAAGCTTTTACAGAATCAAAAATAGAAAGATGTGATCTGTTGAATTTTGCATTTTGGACAATCGAGTACAAAGTGGTCCAATTCCATTTTGCATTTTGCCAGCAGCCTCACTTAATAACTAAAGAAACTTCATTTATATGGCTAGAATGGGGCAATGAAATTTCATTGCCGTCCGTGTAAGCTCTGAAGAGTAAAAATACACATTCAGTGCTCACTTCATTCAAGTGGCAATATATTTAGATAGAGGGAATAAGTGAGAGGGGCCTATGGGGAATGCCATTGTTTTTGGCATTGTGACTTAGAAAAATGGTCTGTAAATGCATTTCAGATGGAAACCCAATACAACATGACATCCATCCATTCAACTCTGCCTTAAACCAAAGATGTGCACATTTACTTTTCTTTTTCAAAGCTGTACACTTTGAGTCAAGACTATTGTCCAAAGGATTGGGAAGGAAAAGAAGAATTGAAATTAGTTCTCAAGCATCATTTGCTACAAAATTCTGGACAAATTATTTCTACAAGAGCCGAGGTGGTGCAGGGCAGGGTACTTCAAATGACTGCTAGCTGCAGTTTGGCAGTTCAGATCTCACCAAGCTTAAGGTTGACTCAGCCTTCCATCTTTCCGAGGTGGGTAAAATGAGGACCCAGATTGTTGGGGGCAATAGGCTGGCTCTATAAACCACTTAGAGAGGGCTGTAAAAGCACTATGAAGTGGTCTATAAGTCTAAGTGCTATTGTTAGTGTTATTGCTACAACTCCTATTCTTCTCCACCACCAAATAGTAGTCCAATACATCTGAAAGTCACCTGATTGGATCATGTGGCTTTTATTTGCAAAATCAAATTGGGTGGGCTTTTCCAAGGCATTTGTTTTGTATTGCAA